TGAAAAACAGAACAAACTCCGTTCAACCCAATAGTTCGTTCCATAGGTTTTCGAATAACCGTCAATAGCCGAAAAAACCCTTTTCGGTACACTTGAAATTGGTTATAAACTGGTTTATTTCAAAACCTATGGAGCGAACTACGATCATTTTGATCTCATTTGAAAGATAATTTAATTCGGGAGTCGAGTCTCTTTCCCCGATACCTAACCGTATAGCAACATACACGTACGCTTCGACTGACTTCGTATATAGCCGGCGTATACCACCGGAAACACGACCACAGTATGACATGCAGCTCCGTGCTTGCGCGAGTCTGGTAGGTGGAAAGCGCACCTACCGCGTGCGAAACGACGAGACTTGGCTGCTGCCGTAGCAGCAGAGGTCTCGGGAAGTTTCCCATTATAGTCTCCCTTAACTGGTAGTACTAGCTCTCCTCTCCACCGGCAGTCCCAACCTTCCCACAGTCTCTCCTCTCCACAGCTCCGCACGCCTGGCGCCTCGCCCTCATCTCCCCCAAACCTCTTGCCTAAAGTACCGCACACCTTTGGTGGTAAGCTATGAGCTCGAACTATTCCATCGTTACCGCTATAGTTTAGTTAAACATGCCCTTTCGCTCTGGTCCGTGGCTCGTTCCTTGCTCACCTCTCCAATCCGCATCACGGTTCTATCTCTTTCTCTCTCTCTCTCTCTCTCCCTCTCTTGCTCCCTATCTTTCTGTACGTCTCTCGGACCTAAGTCCACAACATGCAAATTTGACCCTTGCCGAATTTGCCGAACCAGCCAATCTTCGTTGTTCGGCAAACTGCGGCAACGGGCCGAGTGACACGAAGAGACGGCTGCCTTCGTTGCAGTCGGCTTCGTCAGGATCGACTTAGAATTTCGAGGACGCGCCCCCGAATTAGGCGAATTCGATTAAATCGGATTCGTGTAAACAGCCACACCGCACGGTGGAAAGTTTGGCACGGATTTACTGTAGCTGTGCACGCGACGCGCGTTGAGTTATCGTGAGAAGAGAGGGGAGCGGTTTCTCAGGGGGTACTTCGAGGCAGGTGCATGACTTTGGCGACATTTCGGGTTAGACTTTGCCTTAACGTGAGCTTAATTAAGGTTTCGCTATAACGCACATAGGTAAATATTGTTTGAATATAACTATCAATCAGTAGGCTTTGTACGTCGTCACACAGTTATTGCCTAATTAGCATTTGCTTAACGAGGCGCCAAAATAACGTCAAAATAAAAGAGAATTAATATAGTATTTTTATTTTATATTTTATATCTGTGTTCGCTGCATATAGAGTATTCTATATATGAATTCTATAAAAAAATGTCGAGATTTTAATAATCTCAATATGTACGTATATTTTAGACACATCATTATATATTACATACTGTATAATACGCATAAAATTACTATTTTCTTGAAAAAGTGTTAAATTCTTTTCTTTGCTTTTCATGGTAACATAAATAAAAATGTATATTAAATAGAATATTAATTATTATTCCTTGTAGATTATATTTAAAGAAATCGTAATCGACTTAACTACGTTTAATGATAAATGAAGGCTGTCTCAAGGAAAAATTATTAAACCAAAACGTTATATTCAGCCAGAAATTAAGACTTCAATTTCGCAAAGAAAGAATCGGGTATATTATGCGCATTTATATAACTATGTAAAAATTGTGCGGACGAGATAATCTCGGTAGACTAAAAAATAGGTTTGAAATAGACAGATAAGACAAGATTAAATATTACTCTGTGCAGTCTTTTGGAAAAAAATGGCATGGTGTAACGAATGCAAGGTCGTTTCAGAGAGAGACGTAATTCGTCAGCACGATGTGTAATGGGGGGAGTACGAGATACAATCTTCCCGTTATCTTCTTAATTAGTTTCATTTCGTAATCTCTCCGTGGAACTCTTGCAACGTTTGACAAATGATGTAAGGGGTTCTTACTGGAGGGATCTTACATCTTGCTCACCCAATTGCAGTGAATAACATTTTTAATTAAGCAACGTTCCTTAACGAACATGCCTAGCAGAAGGAAATGTATCGCACCATATGATATTGGGGGAAAGTTTGATAACGATAAGATTTCAAGGGATAATATCCTTCGTTAGACGCGACATTTGAATGAATTAATTAAATAATATAGACATGGCAAAAATCACACATAAAAACAATAAAGAGAAGTCTCTTCGCATAATTAATTAGTAATTAAAAATGTTAAAGCAAATTTAGATATATTAAAATATTTGAATAAATTAAAGACAAAGAGAGAGAGAGAGAGAGAGAGAGAATTTGACTGACGATGAATCATCAAAATTGAAAATCTTAAATTAAAAATAAAATTTAGCAAAAAATCATCATTTGCATCAGCGTATTTAAAGATACAAAAGAATTATAGATTGAACGTTTTGTTGATAGATTATATTGGGTTAAACGGAAAGTTCGTGCCGTTTTTTCGATCTTCATCTCTTAGTGAAAAACAGAACAAACTCCGTTCAACCCAATAGTTCGTTCCATAGGTTTTCGAATAACCGTCAATAGCCGAAAAAACACTTTTCGGTACACTTGAAATTGGTTATAAACTGGTTTATTTCAAAACCTATGGAGCGAACTACAATCACTTTGATCTCATTTGAAAGATAATTTAATACCGAACAAAAAGTTTCCGATAAACATGGATCGAGAAATGCTTCCTTAAAAAGTTAGCGCCCAAAAACGTCTAAAATCACGGTTATTTTTTACATTTTTACAAATATCAGGGAAAGTATGCGTTTTTTAACAAGAAGTACTGAAACAAAAGTTGTAGAAAATTATATTATCTTTCAAATGAGATCAAAGTTATTGTATTGGGTTGAACGGAAAGTTTGTGCCGTTTTTTCGGTCTTCATCTCTTAGTAAAAAATATTGCAGACCGATCAAAATTTTCTTAGAGACATACTGACGGTGCGAGAGGCGAACAACTGTAAATAGATCGAGGGAGTTCTGGTTCGCCTTGCGCGCAACACGCTCTACCGAGCGTCGGGCAACGGCAACGGCACCGATCCTCAAATATACATGGATAGACTTCGTATCGGATTTCCCTAGCGGATAGAAGAAGCGGCTCCGTTGACGGCACTTCTCCTCGTGCGAATAAGAAGTTCCTTTGGTACGACGCGTCGTGTCGCGTCGGTACATTCCCGTTTGTCCCACAAGCTGCGACGTAAGCTTGGCAAAGGGCGGACGCCAAGGCATCTACGCTACGTGATACCGGTCTCCGGCGCGTCCTCGAATCCGCACGCGCTCGGATATAGAAATCTCCTGAATTGCAAATTATATCGGCATCGCCGTGAGAAAAGTGCGGCTCCGGTGTGCTTTCGTATGAGAGCGACACGATTAAATGATTTAATCCCTTCGACACCTTTGAGCTTTGCAAAGCTGTTTGGAGCGCTCGTCATAATTTAATTCTGCAGGGAGATCCGAAACAAATTGATCGTGAGGAAAGATATTTCTTTTCATTTAGCTTCTTTTTTTTTGCGTAATTCCGTAACTCGGCTTATCTCATCAACCGTTAAAATTACATAAGAGTTGCCAATATATACGACATCTCGAATTATATAACTATTTTAAAGTTTATAAGTTAATTTACGAAAAAAAAAGAGAAAGGAATGTAATGTATTTTTATATTCATATATATTATAATATTGTTAAAATAAAATGCAATGATGTGCACGCAAGCACTCAGTTTCAATAATATTAATAATTCGCTGACATTATTATTTTTTATTGTAGACTTCTTTCAGCCGTTCTGATAAGAAATTTATTATTTATATTTATCGCTTTTTTTTCAAATCCCGCAGAGAAAAATTAATTCCGTGGACACATCCTTAAATCATTAACTTTACACGATTGTAATAGAGATAAAACGAAGTGCTTAGTGGTCGTCGATAATGCCGGTGTGGAGACATCGTGTATCCTTTAGCCTGTAGAAACGGTTTGCCATCTCTTCGCTGGTATTTTCCTCCGCATCCTGCAACTCTCTCACTCCAATTATTTCTTTTCCACCCTCGCGCTGGCTCTGTCCCTGTCTGGTTATCGTGTTCCTATGGGACTGCAGGAACCTTGCTGTTCGCAAATCCCTTTCCTTGCCCCGACGGAGCAAGAAATGCAACTCTCCTTGGGGAATTAATTGCGCCGTAAAACGTAGATTCAAATCCGCGTTTCAAAGAAGAAGAGAGACGAGGTTCGAGAGAGAGAAAGTGAGAAAGAGAGGGGTGGGGGTGGAGGAGGGGAAGAGAGGAAGATAGCAGCGCCGTTCCTTTTCTTCCATCGAAAGATTTTCCCAAGATAGTTCTCATCTCGACTGCAATCAGTGTCGTAAATTGCTTGCAATCGGTCCTGCAATTAATTCCGGCTCATCCTCGGGGATTTATTATTCTCAATAATACCATAATATTCTTAGGTGAGGGTGGGGGGGGGGGAAGGGGGCGTGAAAGAATCTTTCGTTCTTGCTACATTTTATGTTTTCTTTCTGCTTTGACAAAGATTATTTCATATAATTTTATGTACGATGCATTACATGCTTTTTATTTCACAAGATTTATGTGAAAAACAGGTTTTAAATTACTCGATATAAATTATGTAAGTATGTCTATCGGGAAGTTCTGTGGCAGGTGGTATAAACTAAACTTAAGCAAATTAATTATTGCATTCGAAAAATTGTAAAAATTTGTGTACATTACATCATATGCACAGCGCATTATTTATATCAAATTCTTAAAACTTTTTATATTAATAAATTCGTGCAACATATTCTTCATATAAATATTTAAAAATATTTCTCAAAAAGATGCATATACGTAGCTTTTTTGTTAAAGAATCATTTAAATAAAAATGAGTTTTTTTATTTGATCAGAATAATGAATCAGCACATCATTATCCGATGTGTTGATCCATTGACTTTTTTGTCCACTTACGTCGCGTGATTAATGTATCATTATGCCATGTTGTCAGAAAAACTGTGCGAGACAAAGCTATATAAAACGAATGTTAATAATTAATTGCACTATTGGCAGAAATATTTCATAAACAACATGATACTCTACGCTCTTAGTATATTCAGCATTGTAACATTTGTACTGTGTGGAGCAGAAGAACTTATACTTCGTAAGTTTTATTTTTTTTAATTTTTTATATTTTAACGATATTTGACAAAATAGGACTTTTTTGCTATTTGACAAAATAGCAAAAAAGAAAGGAAAATGAGAAGTAATACTTTATTTCGTATTCGCGACATAACATATTAGATATTTTCAAAACAGCATCTCACGTCATTTTCATGTTATATGCATTAGGATACAAGTCTTTATATAATCAACCTCTAATTATCATGAAAAATACGTTGCTCAAGGATATTTTCTATAATTCTCTATATCTATTAAAACAAATTTACGTCAATGCTCTCTGATGCATGTTATTTAGTATAAAATTATATAATAACAGCAATAGGCTCAAAGTACTAACAATTAAGAGGGAAAACTAGTAAATAAGACCCACCGATTCTAATTTAAAATTTGACTGCAACAACAAATACTGTGTATGTCAAGTTTTAAAATACCAATCTTTATATATTTATATCTATGCTAAAGATGAACCAAAAAACAGTCCCAAACGTACATTTTTAAAATACACATTTATTATAAAAATTTAACAATAATAAATTTCACGGATCAATATCCGCGCCTTGGCTCTTATTTGCCAGTTTTCCCACTTAATCAAATTATATAATTAAAGATAAAGACACATTAAGTTAACTCATTGTCAAACAACGTATTGATACAATAAGGAAAATGAGAAGTAATACTTTATTTCGTATTCGCGACATAACATACAAATACTTTCTTCTTAAAAAGTTTAGTCTATTTTCTAATTATATCCAAATTATTTTATTCTAAACTCACTCTTTTATTTCTATTGTCAACTATTTTATTCTGTCTCTTTTTTATCCAGCTATAACCACTTGCAAGCGGAATTCAACTGACTATTCGACCTGTTTAAAAGAAGCGGTAATAGAAGCATGGCCACGATTTGTTGAAGGTATGTGTCCTAAAGTATCTGTTCTAAAGTAATTAATTTTATTATTTTGATTTATACATTTCTTTAAAGATCAATACGTATGGTAAAATATATTATTTATAATATGTAATTATTTGTGATTATTTTCAATACACACACACACACATACACATGCAATTACATCTGCGTTTTGCTCTATTTGGCTTCCTTTTCAGATTTTTTAAATTTCTTTAAAGAGTTAAAGTTATACATTAATTTATATATACAATTGTTATAAAATGTTGTGATATTAGAAATAGTTATAAAACTAATAATGTGAATAAATATTTATAAATAATTATAAATTAATTAGATTTTTATTAAAACAAATAAAGATTTATAGTTTTTTTATATGAATAACTTCAAATTATTAAAAGATATTAATACTTTAATCGTCTTAATAGGACTTCCAGAATTCGATTTTCCACGTTTGGATCCACTTCTCTATAAAGACGGCAAAATTATACTTAATAGAAACGGACTAAATGCAGAAGGAAACGTGATAAATGCCACGATTTTTGGTCTAGCACTTACTCGTATTCTGGATGTGAGACCACACTTTCTGGATGATATTTTCCGTTTAGAAATAGACATGATAATACCGAAAGTGTTCGTTCATTCTTACGATAGCGGGCAAGCTAATCTATTCGGAATGCGAGCAGGTGGCGCAGGTACGACAAGAAACTCAATATAATTTACGTAAAACACAATATATAAGAAACGGAAAAGCATTGGTGAATATACTCATTTATAATGATAAAGAACTAATCAAATTGATTGACGAAATATTAATAAACTTTCGATTTTCATAATTTTATTTTGGAGCCATCAAGCTAATTATGATAACTGCATAAATTTATTACAATAGTATGTTAATTTTAAATAGACAATTATATTTCTTAATAACTTTTTAATTGTTACATTTTATAGTGACTATTATTACCTTTTGTTATAAAATATTATAATTTTATTTATGTTACATTTTTCTTTACAATTTATATAATAGGATATCTCAATATAACAATGCACGAAAACAGAGTAACACATGATATAACAGGATACGTAAAAAATGATACATGGACTGTACAACATCACCGAATAATTATGACAGTTGAAAGAATGAAGTTTTATCTTAGTGATTTCTTTGATGGCAGTAAAGAGCTTAGTAAGCATTAAATTAAATTAAGTATATTTTTCTATTCTTTTACACTCTTTTTAGTACATCTTAAATTATTTGAGTAAAAATGCTTATTTGATCTAATGTTCAAATGTATAATTATTAATAATAATATGTCTATAAAAATTTCACGAAAATAGCATTAATTGTTTTTTTTACAATTGATTAAAAATTGATCTATAATCTTACATGCATATTTATAGTTAAAAATAATTCCATATATTGTAAGGCATTTTAAAATAATGGAAATATCAATAACTATATAATTAAGAAATAAAAAAGTAATAAAAACTTCTTTTTCTAAAGATGGCATTTCTTCAAATATTTTTAAATATCTTAAGACGCATTGAAGACGTCACACATACACATAACAAATTAATAAAAACTCCAATTTAAAAAATTATAATAAGAATAAACTCTAATTAATTTATGCATTTGCTCACTTTGTATAGATATCTATATTATAATTTTATTTTGATTCGCTTTTGTTAAAATACATTGTGTTATTAATAAGTTTCTATTTGCAGATGATATTCTTGAAGATTTTTTAAACGAGTACTGGCCACCAATTTATCGAGAGTTTGCGCCAACAGTGTTTGAAACAGTAGATCCGTTTCTTACTAATATAGACAACCGTTTTTTTTCGAAAGTTTCATTCTCGAAAGTATTCCCATAAAATTAATATATTTGTTACAAATTAAGGAATACCAGATTTCATATAGAGTTGAAAATATATTTAACATTCTAAACACTGAAATTAAAAAGTTATTATGCAAAAATTTCTTATTTCTAAATATTACAAATTTTGGTATGCCTATTATGTTTGTGCTTAAATTCTTAATTTAAACAATAAGATATTCTTATATCAATAATTATATATAGAAATATCAAATCTCTCTCAGCTTGTTTTTTAATATACTATTTTTAAAAATTTGATATTTTTTATGATACAATATATATTACGATATATTATAAATGTGTTTACAAATTTAAAAAAAAAATTATTTTATAAATAAGTAGTTTTAATTATAATAGAAAAAATATTATATTGTAAGAAGTGTCTATGATAGAAATTTTACATTATAATATTTTTCAAAATTAATGGAAATGCTATATTATAAAGTGTCTATAATAATGCTAGCTTAACTTTTAACAAGTTATGTGAAATCTCTCAAGTCTTATAATTTGAATTTTATTATTGACTAACGCATCTTTGTATAGAAATAAATAAAAAATATAATATAATAATTTTAAAACAATGATTTTTTTATCCTATTCTTGAGTTTCATCATATCTCTAGATAAGCAATATGTAATTATCATTATACATCTAAGAAACCGATCAAAAGAAAATTTAAAAGAGAGGTATCCGAAACACACACACACACACACACACACACACAGAAATCATTATCACCTGCGTCGAATTCGTTTACATTACTAGTTAGGTATTTAATCATACATACACATGACTTCTTCATAATTTTTTAATTGTTATTATTTTATCATTTAAAAATATGGTATCCTTATGTTATCTCATTATTATAATTTTTTGATAGGACATTTTAACGCAATCGCAGAAAACGTTACAGCAACATGCTATATAACAGGACACGCAGAAAATGATACATTAATTATGGAACATCTCCAAGTAATTCCAACAATTGAAAAGCTGAAAATCCATTTCGAAGATTTCTTTGAAGGCAATGCAGAACTTAGTAAGTACCAAATTTTATCAAATGTAGCTCCATTTTCTTTTATTTTATTCTTTCGCAGAAATCATTATCACCTGCGTCGAATTCGTTTACATTACTAGTTAGGTATTTAATCATATATAGCAAGAACATATTTCTATGAAATTGAAGTTCACATTTTGTTTGCATTCTTCATATATTTGCATAAGTAAAATAAATATCGTAATAAATATTTATCATCTCTTTTTTGTTTTTTTCTTTTATTTGCCTTCATTAATATCTTTTTATATCACAGTAAAAAAACAATACAATCTACGATGAAAATAATTTCTATTGTGATTAATAATTTTTACTCTTTAAATTTCCATTTCAAAATTTAATTTAATAAAAATAACATAACAAATAGTATTATAAACAATAAAAGAAGATTGCCTTTTCTCTCTTTTAGTAATCCAAAGTTAGTATAAAATTGAATTCTAGGAAGAAAATTGTATAAGGTCCGAAAAAAATTAATTGTATTTCTTTATTGCTTCTAGACATAAATTCGATTTACGGTTTATCTCTTTTCTTATAAACAAAAATAAAATTATTATTATTAATTTATAAAGAACTATATACATATGTGAACATATTTTTAACCTCAATATTTTTATATTAGACGACATATAAAATAATCAATAAAATTCTGTCACAATTCATACACTACATAAAATAAAATTAAGCAAAAAATTGATTCTTGAGTATCAATGTTAATGGTATGCGCGGCTTCAAAGTTAATAATGTTAAAGAGATCTTGGAAACGGAAACTATATAAGAGAACTGTGTTCACGATTGATCAAATCATTCCTAGCAGAGAGTGTAAATAAACAAGATGATATTCTCTATACTTATTGCACTCAACATTGTAACATCTGTATTGTGCGCAGCGGATAAAATTACGCTTCATAGTAAGTCTTTTATTTTTGAGATTCTTTATATTTTAATATATATTTATCACACTAGTGAAAAGTGCGATAAAAATCTTTCTTTATTAACTTTGTAACATATATATAATTAATAATATAAAAATACTTCTGAATATATATAGCTTTAAATTTTAAATAATATTTGCAAAAATTGTCTTAATTCTTTAGTAACTCGCATATATATTATATTTATTATTATTATTCAATTTCTATTTCCACAAAGCTGTAAACCCCTGCAAGCGAAATTCAGCCAATTATTCAGCTTGTTTAAAAAACGCGATAGAAGAATTATGGCCACAATTTGTTGAAGGTATATAGTTCTTTTTAAAGAGTGATATTATAATTTTAATATATTAATTCATATATTTTTAAATAATTGAAATTAGATATTATCTTATATATATAATTATTATAAAACGTCGTAACATTAAGAATGCTTATAAAATTAATTAATAAATCAATTTTTATTAATTTATGAATTTATTAAGTTTTATCAAAACCAAATTAAAAATATTTAAACTCGAAAATTATTAATATTAATCGATTCGTTTTATATGTGATAGGACTTCCAGAATTCGACTTCCCACCCTTGGATCCATTCTTCTATGATTATAGCAAAGCCGTTTTTAATAGGGGGGAAATATATGGGGAAATAAACGTTTTCAATATCACTATTACCGGCATAAGAAAGGCTCATTTCTTAGCTATAAGATCATATATTCGTGATGACAGATACCGTTTTGAAATTGATACTAAAGTACCAAGATTGGTAATTGATGGTGATAGTAATGCGATAGGCAGTTTAGGCGGAATCAGAATGGGTGGCAAAGGTACGAAAATAAACTCTAAATACGTTTTATATAAATCAATATAAAAGAACTCATTTTTTTAAATATATCCGCGTTTACCACGACGAAAAATTAATCACATCACATATATAACAAAAGATTCGTAAAATTTTCTAATCATTTTTACATGGATCAATCAAGATAATTTTTACAGTAAACTTATAATATTATAAATGTGTCTGCATCTGAATATTTTTTAATATTAGATTTAAATATTAAAATAAAATGCTAATCTAGTTTAATGTTCTAATATGTAAACAATTTTCAATTAGAACAAAAGGAACAAAGATTTTTTTATCCTAATTAACCAAATCTCATACAATTTCGATCTTCAATTTAAAGCCTAAAACATAAAAGACACACACGTATTATAATTTAAATCATTAGATTCAAAACATTACTTTAAGAAAACAACAAATTAATTAAAAAAAAAGATAAAGATTTTATTTCTCTGCAATATTCCCTTTTTTGAAAAATCTTTAGAAGATTATTTTGCTAATAAACACATTTCACCATTTAGCAGCGAAACACTACACATGGAATAGATAAAAAGATTGTGAACTTCTATTAATTTATTTATACATATATTTTGTGATTGTGTCTATTAAATTCATATATTATATTTTTATATATTAATTTATATATTTGCATTTCTTATATATTTATATCATATTACGATTATATTATATTATTTTTATCCACTTTTTTTGGAATATTATTATTATAAATTTTTTATTTGCAGATGATCTTCTTGAAATGTTTGTGAATGAATTCTGGCCATCGTTATATCGAACGTTGATACCAATAGCGACCGATGTATGGGACCAATGGTTCACTAATTTTTGCAATCGTTACTTGTCAAAGGTTTCCATCTCGCAAATAATACCATGAAAGTCATATATTAATTATATAAAGATCAGAAATTGATAATACATTCAACATCGTAAACAATGAAGTTGTGCCAAATAATAAAAAAAGAGACTTCTAATTGATCTCACACAAAAAGGAATATTATATATTATATATTGTAGAG